TGAAGAATGTACATGTTTTAATCATCTATAGATGGTTTTGACTATTATCAGACAGATGTAAGTTTATTTGTTTAATTCAAACCATCTCTGAGGAACAGAGTCAAATGTAAAATAGTGTTGCAACTGTCCCCGGTCTCCCCTACACTAAACAAGTTTATGTTAAATTTTAAAAAGTAGCCTAACACTAAGTTAGAGTCAGATCAAGGCGCTCTGACTGTAAGATTTATAAAATAACTTGTGCAGAGCAGAGACTGTGTGACCTGTTCAGGTAAAGGCTGGACAGGAAGTAAACACACTGACTGTTGTACAAACTGAATACACAACATGTCAGGAAGTACAGGTGGAACCGGAAACCAGATGTTAGCTCCTGTAAACACCTGTAAACACCTGTTTCATGTCCTGACACCAAACATGACTGTGTCTCCATGCTTCCCTCTGCTCACAGGAAACAACATCATCCTCATCATCATCATCATCATCATCATCATCATCATCATACACCGCTGTCAGCAGGTTCCCCAAAACAAGCCCTGCACGACGGAACAGGTGTGTGCGCGCGCGACTGCTCGCAACTGCGCTGATGCTCGTTCATGCGCATGCTTGTGTAACTCCGTGAAACAAATACCACACAAGCAGCAGGCCTACAGCATACTGGGTCCAGTTACATCAGTGCTGTTTGTCTGCACACAGACACACACACACACACACAGACACACACACACACACACACACACACACACACACACACACACACACACAGGTGTGGCCTGTTACATGTCGTTAAGGAGGCGGGAGGAGGTGAGACGCACCTGATGGAGCTCGGTCCTCGGCTCTCCTCGGAGCGCGCTCTCCGGCCACAGGTGACAGCTGGAGCCGGGCTTCGGGCTGTCTTTGCCGCTGCCAGTCGCAGAGCAGGAGCGCGGTGCCGCCGGGGGGGTCCTCCTGCTCCTACATGGCTGTCCGGAGCCGCTGCAGTGGTCGACGGGCAGGCTGCTCCCCACCAGCAGCTGCTGGCGCGCGCGCAGCTGCGGGATGTGCTGCTGCTGCGGGTCCTGAGGTGTCGGGAGCTCAGAGGAGTTACATGCATTTAAAGCGCGCCCTTCCTGTGAGTGTGCACCCCCTCCTTCAGGGGAGGGGTCCCTCAGATGCTGCTGCTGCTGCTGCTGCTGCAACAGCTGCCTGTGGTCTCCTCCTGCTCCTCCTCCTCCTCCTCCTCCTCCTCCTCTGCAGCGTGCCACAGCCTGTTGGTAATGACTGACGCTCCTCCTCAGCCCAGCTCCTCGGTCTGAGCCGTGGGGGAAGGCGGCTGGAGGCGGCGGGATGGCTGCGGGGAGAGGTGCGGGGGGCTGCGGGTCGACAATGCGGGACTGGTTTTCAGAGAAGCTGCAGTGGCAGCTGGGAAAAACAGGCCACTGGTGCTGGGAGCCGGCCGGGGCCCAGGGGTCCTGCTGCTGCAGGTGTGCCGGCTGTGAAGGTCGCAGATCCGTGTCGTCAATCAGCGGGAGGGGGTCTCTGCTGCGGCCGGGGGTCCGGCAGGGCTGGCTCACACACGGCAGCTCCTGGAGGCTGTGGCGCGGAGCAGAGGGGGGACAGGCGCGGACTCGGTGCTGGGAGGGAGGAGGAGGGGGCGGCAGGCTGAAAATGGGAGCGACTCGGTCACGGCTCGGTTCTGGGGTTCCGGGCTTTCCGTCGAGAACGTGGTGCTGATGGACAGCTCCCGCGCATCGATGCCGCATCCCCCCCGGATCGCCTCGTCGCGCTGCGCTCGCTCCTCTGCCGCGCAGAGCACCGACACCCATTCATCGCGCTCAGTCCCAGCAGAGGAGCAGGGACTGGTACCATTGGTAGGTTGGACCGGGACCTGCCTTAAAACGTCACCATCCAGCCACAACAGGCTCCTGCCCTGCGCGCAGGCTGCAGGATCGATCCGTCCGTCAGCAGCTGAGACCYGTTCAGACAAACCAGTGTTACCATAACCACCTGCTCACACGTCACTGGGCCGCCCTGCAGCTCCAACACGAAGCACAGCTTCACTTTACTTTACTTTTTAGGACCGTTTTCTGCAGATAATAACATGTTTTTATTTAGTTCATTTATTCATTTTGTTAAAAAAAAACATCTCACACAACAAAATAAAATAAAAATAAAGGCAGCAGAAGACAAAACTTCTTAAATCTGCTGCTTTTTTAAATTTACAACAATGATAAAACAAAAAATAAAAACAAAGATTTAAACTCCTCAGACAGTAACTGACACAACCCAGGTGAAAAAATATTATACTAAGTATACTAAATCTAAGTATACTTAGTATACTTGAAGCCGCACTAATCATCAGTATACTCAGGGGTGTCACTAGGTTTTAAGGACATGGGGGGCTCAGCCCCCAGGAGACGCACATAATTTTTGTATCTTATATATTTGTATTGTGTACAAAGTATCATTTATTTAGAGAACAACACCTACACTTTCAGATAATTACTTTTTCCATAGTTATGTTTAAATCATTCAAGGCCAAATAATATTTTAACATCAATTCAAAAATACCCCAAACTGAACATAAACACTATTTTAGACAGATCTGTGAATACCAACACTACTTTTATACCGTGCCTCTACTCATCTGGTCCTTGCTCCTCAGCGTTGATGACCCCTGCTTTAGACTCACCTTTCCAGAGGAGGTCTCTCCTCTCTCACTCCCTGTGCTCCTCTGCCCTGACTCCTACAGGCCAACAGGGATGGTGAAGTAATTATTATTAGTCTGTTATTTATCTGTTACTGAGCCTTCATGCTGCACTGAGCTGGCTCTGTGTGTAAACGAGCACGCTGCTGTTAAGGCTGCAGGAAAAACATGGACTGGATTTCATGTGGTGGGGGAGTTCTCTGTATGAACAAGTGGACTGGATTTCATGTGGTGGGGGAGTTCTCTGTATGAACAAGTGGACTGGATTTCATGTGGTGGGGGAGTTCTCTGTATGAACAAGTGGACT